TTTGACCAAAAAAAAATGAAGCCACTGACTGTATTCATCTTGAGGCTTCCTCATGATAACACAGAGACTAATGTTTTTCTAATTAAATCTCAAACCACAAAGCAGCTTGAGAATCAAATGGGTTTGCTCTCCAATCACAGACTTAAATTGAATCGTGTCCTTATCAAATCTCAACTATCCAATTCTAATTGTATCAGAGTAGAGTTGCAAGGGTCTCATGTACATTCATGTTCATGTGGAGGCGCACTTGAAATTCTTAAAAATTTCCAGCACAGTTTCAGTGCAAACTGTGCAGAACTGCACTGAGCATATATATCATTAGCAAATCAATATCTTCTTATCACTTAGCAGGCAAACTTTTTTTCTTGAGTTCTTTTCAATGTTTCCTTTTTAAAATAAATCTTGAGTTATTCTCAAAAAGTTTATTCCTCAGTGCTTGAAGAGTATCCTTGACAGAAGTCATTTGGCTGTGTATAATTAAGCTAGCTAGTAATGCGGTCATGGAGTATATGCTTGGTTGCCTTCAAAGGTATCCTTTCTAACCAAGATGAGAAAAACAAGCTTGTTTACAAAGGTTACACATTTTTCAATCTATAAACCCCACAGTTGCTATTTCCCTTGAACCATGCAGCGTTCAATAGCATAGTAAATTATGATAAAAAGTTAAAAGATAAATTTCAACCCTTAGGTCCCAAAACTGATTTATTGTGTCCTGTGTCTTTGATTTATTAAAAACATGTTGATGATTAATATACTCTACATGAAATATATAGGAGTATTATAACCTAGATATTCACAATCCACAGGTATGTTCTTCATTCTCAATAATATTTTTATTTGGAGCACCCTTGTTAAATGTCAACTAGGATTGTCAATATTGTTAACTTTGATTCCTAATGGCTTAGAAACCTAATGGTTAAATCAACACCCCTACAACTTTCATATAACTTGACTAGGGCTATTCCAATATGTAGCTTTTATATTTTCCATATTGAATTTGCCCCACAGGTATACTTTTTAGCTTCATCAAATAGTTTCTGATATAGGAGTCAGATGGAAATAAAAGTGCAGTAAAAAAAATGTAAAATTCAGCCTGGAAAAGTATTCAATGTATCATTTGGGGATAGAAGTGGGAGGCTGTATGTTACCGTAATTATTTTCTAACTATCCAAGGAAGCCCTGACTCTTACCAGAAAATAAATTGAAAGCTATAATACCATCACAGTTTCCCCAGAACCGATTCCCCTGTTTTAAATATCCAGACACTGGATATTGGAGTAAGTTTATCTAATCTCTTATTGCTACAGATTCTCTCTGAAAGCAAATTAATTCCACCAGAAATTTAGTTAGCCTGTATAACTAAAGAAAAGCTAGCCTTGAAAGTCGACAATAAAGAGATATCCTTTGTTGGAAAGGACATTGGGCACTGGAGAGGATCTACTGTGTATAGATCCATTAAAAACTTTTACAAGGACCTACCTAGCTATGTGGATTGCTGCAAACACTACGATAAAATTAATAAGCAAAACCTGTAAAGATTTTCGTAGGGACTACAACATGCTTTTTGAAAACATTCCTTGCCTCATTTGAGGGTTGAAGCATTTATTTATTCATCATGAATAAAATTTATATAGCCACCCTATCTCACCAACTGTGCCTCTGAGCAGTGTACAACAATCCAATAACAACAAATACAAAATCAGGCAATTTAAGCATATGAAATCAAGCATAAAATAAAAATTATAAAAAAGCTAACCCTAGGCAAAGGGAGTATATGAATGGGTACATAGCTCTGGGAACCCTAGAACTGGTTACATAACCATGTCTTGAGGGACTTCTGGAATATCAAAAGGAATGGAGTAAACTTAATTTCAGGAGGAAGAATGTGTCAGGCCAAGCCTAAGAATGGCATAGAATAACCCAGAGTCTTGCCAGACTAAACTGACATTACCCTCAGCCTAATGATTTATCCTGGGAGATTCTAGGAAGTGGCTATCATAACACTCTTCTTCTGTCTTCTATCCAGTTATGGGATATGTTGTCTCTTGTCTCATTCCTCTCCTTGGAATGAGTTCCCTCCTTCCCAGGAAACTGCCACTTCACTGAAGTTCATCAGAATACCTTGCCCTTTATAGATATAATCATCAGAGAATGTTCCACAAGGCAGGTGCCAGAGCAGAGAATATGTCTCCAGGGACCCACCAAATGTAGGTCCATAGCTGATGGTTCCCACAGTAAAAGCAATTTTTTTTTTTTTTTTTGCACTGTACCACATTTCAGCCCATGGAAAAAAAAAACATGTGATGGAAATACTTGGCTTGCATTTAAAAGGAAAAAGGATGGAATATAATAATGGGTTGAAAGCAACTGTGTTGTCCTGGAATATATTTTCCTATTCTGTTTGGGGGGAGGGGGTTCCGCCTAGTTGAGAATTCTAACATAATGTTTTTCCCAAAAAATTGCAGCTTATGTTTGTCTTCTACAATCCAATATTAATCTATGCCTTGCTGTTTGATAAGCCTCTCATATCAAGTACACTTTCAATCACTACAAGAAATGCATTTTGTATGGGTTACAAAAAAAAACCCAGTTCTCTAGCATACATAAATGAAGAAAACATTACACATGGTATGTGTACTGTAGTGCTCCCACATCTGTAAGAATAATAGAAATATTGTTGACTGATTGTTCCATGGGCAAGAGTATGAGTTGAACTAACTCAAACGGGAATGATAAATACTGTAAAGAAATAAAAAACCCAAAAGTACCTCAGGCTCTAATCAACAATGTTGGGACATGACAGAACTGGGGCTATCAGAGGAATCCCAAAAGTGCTTTTTCCAAAAGGCATTTTTTGAAAGACAAAAGGACTTTCTTGGTTTTTCTTTAAAAACTTTTTTGCTTCTCATCCAAGAAGCTTCTTCAGTTCATGGTTGTCCCAAAGGTGGAAAAAGCACCTTTGAGTCAACCATCACCTGGAAGGTTGAGAATCTTCATAGACATCAGAGAAATCATTTTCTTTTTCCATATAACCCTTTTCCATGTGTAACCTACCCAATGTTTATATTTTTTAGTTCTACAGTTAGGGATATTTGTTTGATTGTGGTCCAGATGAGAAGATACAATACTGTGGTCTTCCCAATGGAGAATAACATTCCTTAGAGGGTGGCAATTTCCCATTATGAAATGCTTCTGCCAGGAATCAAAGACCTATTTATTTAATTGGGCATTCAACCATATGAAAATGTTAGCAATGAAGATTTATGGCTATTGCCTTTTTACTAGTGTGTATTGCTGAACAATTTTATGTAAACATTTTTTGGGATTTAGGATGAAAATGATCCATGGTATCAGGGAAATGTCATTATACTCAGGAATACCTTGAGATTTGTAGAAGTATCCAAAATATTTCAAAAAGAATTTTAAAGTGCATATATACAAAAACACTCTCATATCCCCAAGTAAAATATTCTGCTGACAATTATAGGCACAGATTATCAAATGTTGAAATAGAAAAGCAAACAAGAAGTGAAAAAATATATTGGGCAGTCAGTACATTTTCCTATGTACGTTTTATGTAATACAGTATGTAAGATGCTAGAGAAGGAAAACAGAATAGATTACAAACTGAAATACCAGAGTAGGATCAAAATCTATAAGGAGTCAAGAAACAGTCTATCTAGCAATGGATATACCAATTCAGTGAACTCACTTATCAGTTGCTTGAATTGTATATAAATGTCACATATTCAAGAATGCCCTCTTTTTTCTTCAAAATGTTCACCTAATTTATGTCTTACTCTTGGTAAGGTCCTTTACCTTACACAGATGTAATCCTATCATATTCCTCTTAGACAAAATATTTTAAGGATTTTGAGGTTATGACTTAAGTGTCACGTCAATAGTTCTGAGTTGATTGACGATGAATTTAGGAAAAGCTCTATTATTTTTAAGGCTAAGTCTAGCAGTTCATAAAAATGGAAAAATCTGTGGATCTCTATCATTGTATAAACATGGTATTGTTTATCGTTGGGCCAGAGATGTTCTCTTCTTCATTCTAGAAATACCATGTTTCATTTTTCACATTTATTACCCTGCTGTATTTAATGGAAAAATCTGAACTCACTGATGGCAAACAGATGGCAGAGTCAACATTAACAGTTTTTCAACATTCTATTCACATTCTACCTACATTCAAGTAAATATCAGGAATTCCTTGCAGATTAGTTAGCACTTCCTGAAGGTCAATAAGCTGAATGGTTTGTGCCATAGGGATACCATGGATCACACAGAACCCTATCCCCAGGCCCATTATTGTATGAGAATCTCTCTCTCCCTCTCTTTCTCTCTCTCCTCCACCACACCCCCAAATGCATGAGTAAGTTAGCAGAGTATTATAGGCTTCAGTCCTGGAAACTAAGTTCCGTAGCATTCTATCAACTTAAATATGTAAAAACAATAATGCATATGTACATAACACAAAGACACTCACGCACACCAGGCATGGACATAATATACAGACAGACATACACTCACACAAAGACAAAGACATCCAATTTAAAACTAGTGAATTTAAGATTTTTTAAGATCAATTTTAAACTTTAGAATCTACTATCTGAGTGCATTTAAAAAAGAAGCAAAAGGAAGTTATTGTCATAGCTGTATGCCAGAAACAAATGTTTCCTATTCCTGATCATGACTATTTGCCTTTAGAATATATGTGAGTGTGTGTACATGCGTGTGCATGCGTGCACACCCAGACTCATACATACACACACAAACACACACACACCCACCCCTCAGGTGTCTAAGTAAAAGTAGGAAATCCATTATTTGAGGATGCAGCTCCTGAATCATTTGATACCTGGATTTATTTTAAAGTTTTTATCAGCAGAAAAAAAGTCAATACCACTTGAAAAGTCTCAGAAAATTTAAAAGTTTTCATTTTGGAAGGAATGAAATCATTTTAACAGAGAGCAAATAATTTTGTTTATTTACAGATGATAATGAATGTGCAAATGCCACACAACTTTGTGGAGAAAAGGCAAACTGTACAAACACTATGGGAAGCTACTTCTGCATGTGCAAAGATGGATACAAATCTAGTAATGGCAACGCAACCTTTGTAACCAATGATGGTACTTCATGTAGAGGTAAGATTCCCAAGAGGTTCCCTGTTCATTTACTGATGTTTTATTCCATAAACATTATGTCCCTTTCTGCCTTTTCTGTTTATTCTGTTCCTTAAAATGTTCTGATAGATAAATTATAACAAAAATATTTTTAAAAAGACCCTAGCATTACTATACTAAGTGAATTTAATATATTTTAGCTCTATACCCTGTTTCTCCAAATATACGGCCTCCCCCAATAGGAAGTCCCAGCATGTTTTATAGGCATGAAATGAAATTAAGCCCCTCACCCTAAATTAAGGCCTATATTAAAACATGTGAAATGGGGGGGAATGGTGGGGGGGCTTGCCGTTAGGAAGTACTTTTGTTGTACACCCGGATATGGTGCTGCCTGCGTTGACCCCAATATGAAGTGCCCCACCAACGCCGAGGTCAACATCCAAGCCATCGCTGCCCGCCTGCCCGAAGATGCAAGGGGAAGAATTAAGTCACCCCCGAAAAGACGGCCTAGTCATTTTTTCAGTGCTCAAAAAAAAATAAGACCCGGCCTTATTACATGAGAAACACGGTATAATTTTGTATGTATCACTTTGGGATAATTTAATACATAATGGTTTACCTATAAGGTAAAAGTTTCCCTGTCAGTCATGTCCGATTCTAGGGCACAGTGCTCATCTCTGTTTCTTAGCCAAGGGAGCCAGTGTTGTCTGAAAACAATTTCTGTGTACCTGTGGCCAGCATGACTTTATATCAAAGGGGCACAGAACTCTGTTATCTTCTCACCAGAGTGGTATCTATTAATCTACTTGCATTTGCATGCTTTCAAACTGCTAGGTGGGCTGAAACTGTCAAGTAACAGGAGCTCATCCGTTTCGCAGAGCTTGGGTCTCAAACATGGCCTTTCAACTCTACAGTTGACAACCACAGCATCTTTAACTGTATTTAAAGTATGTAATTATTTACTTAAATGCTAAGTAAAATATTAAGTGCTTCTTACAAACCCTTAATATTTTACACGGCATTTAACTTAGTATATAATCTTGAAGAAATTTATTTTCCATTAGGGGAAGGAATTATTCTTCTACTTTTCCAGTCCAGGAAATAATAAATCAGTATATTTTGGGGACAAGTATAAAATCCCTGTGTTGATATTATCTTCTTCAAGTCACATCTCTCTAAAGTAAAGAGATGTGACTTGAACAAGATAATATCAACAAAGGGATTTTATACTTGCCCAAAAATAAACTGATTTATTATTTTTAGGGCTGTAAAAGTCCTAAAAAATGTATTTCCCCAAGTGAAATAAATTTCTGTGCAGTTATATGTTTTTTTACTGTATTCACTGAAACATGGGGGATTAAAAATTTGATTCCCTAAATATTTTCATGTTAGGACAATTACATTCTCTCTCTCTCTCTCTCTCTCTCTCTCTCTCTCTCTCTCTCTCTCTCTCTCTCTCTCTCTCTCTCCCCTCCCTCCCTCCCTCCCCCCCCTCTCTCTCTCTGTATATGAAACCAGTCTAAAAAGTGAGTCCTTCAAGCCCTGCATCAGCCATGAAAAACCAACTGGGTGATTTGGCCCGGTCACTCTCTTAGCCCAACCCACCTCACAGGGTAGTTGTTGTGGAGAAAATAGGAAGAGGACAATTGGATGTGTTTGCCACCTTGAGTTATTTGTAAAATAAGAAAGGTGGAATACAAATAAATACATAAAATATTATTGTAGAATTGGTAGAAAACTCTAGTTTCTATAACCAATTTTTGAACTGAAGTATCTCAAATGAGCTAATTTACAGGATGCATCCAGAATCTATGAACCATTCCTCCTGTGTCAAGGAAATTACAGAAAATTTGGCTGCTTTAGCACTGCTTGACTGCTGCTGTTGATGATGCTCCTGCTGCAATTACATGCTACATATTTTTAACAGGGAGAAAGGAAGGAAGGAAGGAAGGAAGGAAGGAAGGAAGGAAGGAAGGAAGGAAGGAGGGAGGGAAGGAGGGAAGGAAGGAATATAGCGTTCTCTCTCTCTCTCTTTCTCTCCCTTGCTCACTCGCTTTCTCTCACTCTCTCACGCTCACTCTCTCTGTTTAGTTTATCCCAATTTTTGAGCACCTGTGTAGTTCAATACATTAGAAATCTAATTTATCCTATTATCATGAGAAAAAGTTAACATTTCCAGTTTCTCAGAAGTTTTGTTAAAATGAGGCTTATATAAGCTTCACTTTTATTAAACCAAACTTCATGAATAAAACTAAACATAAACACTTATCCACATAATGATGTACTGCTTTCTCCAACGTAATATTATCCAAATGTTCTAAGATGCTACATGGCAGAGTTCTAAGGACTCCCGTGCTAATTTAACTTTTTAAGGAGTTTTTTCAGGAGTTCTCAATGTTGGAATGTTCTCATGCGAGGCAAAAAAAAAATAGGAGGTTCTTCTATACCTATCCATTCATCTGAATTCAGGTCACACATTCTTTTCCATTAACAATTAAAATAGAGGTGATGATAAACTTTATATTACAATGTGCTATTATAATTGTTGATTGTTTAAGTGATGTGCAGCCACATTTTATCAACTCCCAAAAGCTTACAGCAATTTAAAATGCAGCAACAGTAAAATGTCCACAGTAAAGTACAATATAAAACAATTTAGCATAATAAAGCCAGCACAAATCTCAAGTTCAGCCTCAAGCCTTCCCTAAGCAATTCAGTTTGCTGACAAACTTATGGAAGGCTTCTACAAATGACATCAATTGTGTTCCCAAAGAGAAGTTGTTCCAAATTACTAGAGCCTCATTGAAAAATAGTTCTTCTTGACCTCAATGCTCCTTGGCTCCCATGGGATAGCACAAATGGTTTAATGCTGACATATACATATAGGTAGTCCTCAACTTATGATCAAATTAATGAGACATTTGTTAAGTGAGTTTTGTCCCATTTTACAATCTTTATTGTCACCATTGTTAAGGGAATCACTGCAGTTGTTTTATCTGCCGTCCCTATTGACTTTGCATGTCAGAAGGTCGCAAAGGGTAACCATCATAAAGATAAGTCAGTTGCCAAGCATCTGAATTTTGATCACTGCTATGCAATGATGGGATTCAAAAAAAATTATTACTGGTTCTGTGGGCATGGCTTGATGGGCGTGGTGTAGCTTGGTGGGTGTGGCTTGGTGGGCATACTGCAAATATTCATTCCCTCTCCACCCCACTAACCTGCTTTCCAGCTCCGTTCTCCTTTGCAGGGCAACCCAAGAAGACCCAGCCAATCAACTGGAACTCAAGAGGCAGAGAATAGATGGGGGTGGGGCCAGTCAGAGGTGGTATTTGCCGGTTCTCCGAACTACTCAAAATTTCCGCTACCGGTTCTCTCCAGAACTGGTCAGAACCTGCTGAATGCCACCTCTGCTGCAATAGTCATAAGTGCGAAAAATGGTCACACGTAATTTTTTTCAGTGCTGTTGTAACTTTAAATGGTCACTAAATGAACTGTTGTAAGTTGAGTTGTACCTGTATTAAGATTAATATCAATTCATATTTAAATATATTTAATATAAACCAATATTAATGCCATTAAAGCTAAAACTAGTAAACATTTGGAAGGGATGAGTTTTCTGTGCTATAATGGAGCTTTAATTATCTATATGAAACTATACACCAACTGATAAGTGATAAAAAATTCAGTAGATTAATTTGAACTGCATTTCTGAAGATAATCAGAAATAATCACAGATCTATTAAATCTATTCTGGAATAATGCAACCAATTTTTTCCCAGGAAGTATAATGTCTTTGGCCAGTCTAGCATAAGTGTACACAGAATTACAAAGTAATTGAGGTGTATGTGTATTTTTAATTGTTAATAAATCCATACCATGTTATTCAATTGTATTATTAGAAAAGCCTCACTTGCATTGTCCATCCACAATAAATCCTTGAACTGCATTTTGAGTTTTTTAAAAAAATCTTAAATAATACCTGGAAAAATCCTTATAAATGATTTACATTCATAATTAACCTCTGTCATTTGCACTGATAATTTTGAGCCATGGTAAATTATTCATGTCAAACTCTGCATAGTGTTTATTATGTTTTAGAGGGAAAATGCTGCTAATATTAATGTATGCATTAATTTTTAATATTCTATTTATAACTGCCATTTTAAACCTGGCTGCTTTGCAGTATATTATTTTGTCAATCACATTAAAAAAAAAAAAAAAAGCACTGTAGCCTGGTTTAAGTCCATCCCTGGAGAAGCAGCTATACAATTTTATGGGATGTATTTAGGACACAGCCTCCTATATGCAACTAATAGAAAGGAAAAACAATTTTGATAATGAGATTGGTCCCTAGCTGATCTCCGCAACCATGATGAAAATGGAAAAACTTGCAATTGGTCTTTTGTGTAACTTTATGTCTGTCTACACAGACAGA